CTTTCCGAGCGTCATTTCCATAAACAAGCATTGGGTCGTCAGTATACATACATGGTGTATACTAAAGTACATTTGTAGAAATGCATTGACGGCTCAGTCGACCATGAAACTGCAATAAGCATTGAGATATGGGTATTTTCAATTTGTATGTGATGTATTTATACTAAATCACAACCAACAGGCCTCAGATTATTGAGTTTAGTTGACGAGATGTCCGTCGCACAGACCAAATTTTTAAGATTCGTTGCGTTACAAGATATTTTCGAACTGTTTTGATTAATAAAATAACTTTTCCCTTCTTATACCTCTTTTTGTCAAAATGTTTGAAGGCTTTAATTGTGTTGAAGACTATGGTGCCGTTATTTACGTCACATCTTATGTATTATGACGTCATATGGCATTTTCGTCACAGGGTGGGGAATTTGGGTGCATGGCGAATTTACCTATGTTTTCTCTAGTCATGAAATATGTTTACATCCAATAAAAGACCTGTTTACCCTCTACCATAGCTTGATTCAATTAACATGTGCTCAACTTACTTGAGATATGTACACCATGCAACACCTAACCTGATTTAAATGTAAAATTATTCCTAAAATATAAACGTTTATAAGTATTCTCTGTAACACAATACTATCAAAAATATTAACAGGTTAAAGCAGATTTTCTGTCATATATTAAATGACGTAATGATTAATTGAAAAAATCAATTTTAGTTGTAACCATGACATATAATTTACTGTTTTACATTATGTGTTTGGATTTCAATGTTAAAATAAATTCAAAAATAGAAATAATCGAAAAGAAATTAGTTTCATGATATGTAAATGACAGGTTTGTCACACTTTCTATCTGTCAATGAGTTATCAGTATAGCACTTGTATTCAGCTCTTGACCACACCTGTGTGCCGTCACCAGGCAACAGTATCCCCCGGGCCCCAGTCCCCACACAGGTGACACGTGCACACCCTAGTATGTATTACCTGGACAGACATAAAGGAATCATGTACTACAGGTAACATGATGTAATCATGTTGTAATTTTTGTATTTATGTAAAAAGTTTTGATAAAATTGAGGGGGAGATGAACATTTTATATGACACCGGTACATATGTGTACCGAATTTTGTTGTGAGTGTGGAAACCAGTATATGTATGTTCAGACACTTGTTATGTGTGTTTTCCCATTAGAAGTGTGTAAAGACATGTGTATGGGTGTGCATACCGGCATATGTCTATGCAGACAATTATTATGAGTATACCGGTGTATATGTGTACCGACACCTGTCTTGTGTATCCCCAATACAAACATGTATGTGTATAGACAACAATCATTTCATAGTCAACAGAGCGTAGTATAAAATAAAATGCAAGGTAGCGAAAGGTTTAAATGTACACAGACGCTGTTATTAATAGCCACTGGGGTAAATTCAATGTCCCGGAACACGTACGTATGTGTAGTCATTCTAAAGCACACCTCATATACTCCGATTTTAAGTAAGCAAAAACACCTCTGACAAAATTCAGTTATATACTTCCTTGTTGCTGTTGAGTCGCCATTACGTTCAGAAATGGCGACAAAAAGAGCTGTATTATGTAGAAATGTATGCCTGATCCTGTTCATCTTAATCAGAAAAACCAGATCTGAAGGTAGGTGTGATAAACGTAAAACTTACTAGGCGATAGAAAAACGTATATTTATATAGCTGAAAGATGAAGTATTTGATACATTATATACCAATTCACTTCCTTGAAGGAGGTGAAGATGTTGTGGCAAGTTGTCATTGGCGCTGTTGTGTAATACAGATTACTTACCACCAACTATTTAACTTAGGCAAGTGATAAAGTAAGCAATTTTGCTATGGGAATGACATAAGATTATTCATTGATGTTTTAAATTATGCTTACAGGTCGAAAAAAAATATATTTACACTATACAATTATTGTTTTAATATCCAGAAGGATGTATTTTTCTGTAAATATATACTTTTTATGCCCAACATGTTTGCTGTGATATGGCGTCGACATAAATCATAGAAATATGTTCATATTATCTTGCCTTTTACACTTACAAGTGTTTTCTTTAAAATTAATCAGCTGTTAAAAAAAAGTTGGTCTAGAACATGATTTACACAATATGAAACTACAAACCAGGGTAACGAAGTACAACTTTTGTAAAGGTATTTGAGTTTAAAATACTATATTTGTCACAAATGCATTTGCCACTACATCGATTTGCATATATCGTTGTTAGTATTGATAAGCAAGTCTAGTATTAAAACAAGATATTAAGGAACCACTTCTAAAAGATATCATTTTATTTAACTCCAGATAACTCCTCTTCGTCAGACTCGTTGGTTACTAGCATTAAAACAGTTTAACAAGGAACGTAAATATCATTGTCATTCATAATTTCTCGTCTACCATTCTTTCTTAGTGTATATTGATATAACACCACTTCTGTACCAATAAGCATTATAGGAAGTTCCTTGTAATTCAATATTGTAGCTAACGTAGCCTTAGTTAAGGCAGCTGAGCAGAGCAGCAACACAAACACTAAGTGGGTAGCGAGTAAGGTTGTGGATGGCTGTACAGAGATAACCATAGGATCTGACTGCTGTACACACACGAAGGGTGATCAAAAACAGGTCTGGTGGCGTGTAGACTTGGGTCAGCTGATGACAATCAATAGCATCACTATATATTACAGAGGTGAGTATTATCTAATTTGGTTTAAGAGAGGTCATTTTCATATGCATATATCAAGATACATGTAATAAAATCAAAAAATTAATGCATACTGTTTAAGTAAACAAATGTTACTTCGTGTTTTAGACTTAAATGTACTTATTCACCTCTTTTAATCATATATCACTTAATCTCTTTTACAAAATCAATAAGATTCTTAACAAAAAAATACTCACTGGTGATGTCATAATGTCAGTGACGTAATTGCAATAAGGTCCTTCAAAAATTTTGAAGACAAAACAACTTATTAATTGTGTTGAATTAAAAACTAAGACATTTGTCCTACTAAAACATCAATTCTAATACTACGGTTTTACTGTCGGACTAAGAATGCCATGTGTTCCAAAAGATACATTTTAGCTTTGAATCAATACTATAAACAACTTTATTAAACAGTTGTTGTTGAGCTTTAGTTCCAAACAATATTTAGCTTTGAGTCATAAAGTGGCTTGGTTGGTTGTAGAAACAGAACATCCGGGTTTAGTAATTGAGTTTGGCTTGCAATTAGACAGTGGTTTAGTAGAAAGTTCACAAGTAGTGTTTGGCTGAGAAATGGACAGTAGTTTAGTAGAGAGTCCACAAATAAATTGGCTGGGAATAAGACACTGGTTTAGTAGAGAGTCCACAAGTAGAGTTTGGCTGCGAATAAGACACTGGTTTAGTAGAGAGTCCACAAGTAGAGTTTGGATGGGAATTCGACACTGGTTAAGTAGACACACCGCAAGTAGAAGACCGCTGAGAATAAGACAGTAGTTTAGTAGATAGACCACAAGTAGAGGATGGCTGAGAATTAGACAGTGGTTTAGTAGAGAGACCACAAATAAAATTTAGCTGGCAGTTAGACAGTGGATTAATTAAGAGGCCACAAGTAGAATTTGGCTTGGAATTAGACAGTAGTTAAGTAGAGTAAAAACTTTCTAGGAATTGGACAGTGGTTCAGTAGAGAGTCCAAAAGTAGAGTTTGGCTGGGAATTAGACAGTGGTTTAGTAGGAAGACCACAAGTAGAGTCTGGCTGATAATTAGGCAGTGGTTTAGTAGAGAATCCACAAGTAGAATTTAACTGGGAATTAAACAGTGGTTTAGTAGAGAATCCACAAATAGAATTTGGGTGGGAATTAGACAGTGGTTAAGTAGAGAGACCACAAGTAAGATACATATGAAAGATGATACACGTAAAAGAGGATACATGTTAAAGATGAAAAATATTAAAAAATGATACACCTAAACGATGATACATGTAAAAGATGATACACGTAAAACATGATACACGTAAAAGATGATACACATAAACGATGATACATGTAAAAGATGATACACGTAATAGATGATACACGTAAAAGATGTTACACGTAAAAGATGATACACGTAAAATATGATACAAGAGATGATACACGCAAAAGATGATACACGTAAAAGATGATACAAGAGATGATACACGTAAAAGATGATACATGTTAAAGATGATACACGTAAATGATTATACACCTAAAAGATGATACATATAAAAGATGATACACGTAATATATGATACACGTAAAAGATGATACACGTAATAGATGATACATGTAAAAGATGATACACGTAAAAGGTGATACACGTAAAAGATGATACATGTACAAGATGATACATGTAAAAGATGATACAATGTACGCGTGCATGTAATATAGAAAACTCACAACTGACGACACACAAATCAGTATATAAAGACCAGCCATTGTAGTCAAATTTTGTGATCAACTCAATCTCTAAAACAAATATTACACCGTCAAGAACGAACAAAGCTGATCAGCTTCAATTTCGTTATCTATATGGAGATTGTTGAAATCCATCAGACACATAAACATTCACTTTTACAGGGGGAGTAATTTACTTGATGTTATACAGTAGTTATCATAAAAATACCATTTTTCTCCAGTACCAGTTCGCCTATTAACCTATATGAAAGTGAGTACAAAGAAAATTGGGTTTGTTTATCTTTCTGTATTATTCGGGATAAACCTCCGTGTTTCCATCTCCAGAACTATAACACATATGATAACAGATATCAGACACGACATGGTATTGAACACTATATCATCTGTGACAATACAACAGAGGTGGTATGCAGATTATAGAAGAATACACACCTGTAATATCAGTCAATCACAAAGTAATCATAATTATAGACCGAACATTACAAATATGCTTGTAGCGTGATGCATGTTGGTGTTGAAATACAATTTAAAAATTACAATTAATATAATAGTTTTATTCTCTTGACACTTCTATAAAAAATAGCTGTTGAATAGTTCATACGTTTCATTATTTCTAAAAGATAGTTTGTTATTCACATTAATTCACACTTTATCGCAATCGAAAGAAGTTATTCATTCACATGCCTAAATCGGTAGACTTATTTCAGTCACAGGTAGTATTGCACTGATTAATAAAATGATAACGCTTTATTCCTCATTATAGGTGGTTTCCAACATAGATTGGCCGGTTACCAACTGTACTTGTCCAATACAACCGAGAGCCCTACACAAGGTGTCCTATGTTACGAGGACAAGAGCAGTGAGAAAGATCAGGTACAGTTGTTGGTGACACATCAGTGCCCGTATGTGGCTCGGTATGTGACTGTCTACAACTATAGAAACAACCCCAAGCGGTACAACTGGTATGAAGATTTCGCCATTCTGGAGTTGTGTGAAGTTCAGGTTTTTGGTGAGTATAAAACTTGTTTGATAATATCTTGATTTATCTTTTGTAATATTTACATCTGTTATATGATATTTCAATTAAAAGAACATTTCTTCGGCAGCTCAAACGTTTAAAACATCGATACACGCTCATTTTTATGACTGATTAGATTTTCCTATACCAAAGCTAAGTATCCGAATACTATAACGAGATTGTGTTCTTAGCGCGAATCCGCCAAATCGTTCTACTTTATCGTAAGCTTGTCCTTCACGCAAAGAAATTAATAAACCTGATACAGATAATAAGAGCCAGTCTTTAGAATTCCAGTATTTTAATTCATAACGATTAGGAAAACACGATAGTTTTTGAAAATATAGAAAGCCGGCGAGGACCAATTTTTAAGTAATCTCATTCTATGAAATGCAGGTTGAAACGTGTTGTATAATTTATGGTTATCAAGGTCAGCTAAAGATTGTGTTAATGATAATAATAATAATAATTCGAGGTTCTTATATACCGCTTTATCATAACCTAGTTTGTAGGTCGTCTCAAAGCGGTTGACAAATTATTATCCGTGGTTATAGGGCCTTTGCAACCAGCCAATATCTTACTCAACTCCCTGGGGGGCTAACACCCATTTCGGCGTTCACAGCTAGCATTCAACAATTCTGGCACTGCCCAACCACGTACTAAGTTACAGCTGAGTAGACTTGAACAAGCGGAGTAAAGTATCTTGCTCAAAGATACAACACAATGCCGTGCCGTGACTCGAACCCGCAACCATTCGGTCACGAGCCCGGCGTCCTACCACTAAACTACCGTGCTTCCTACGGTAGACTAGGACCGATGTGTTAGCTACATAATTATCGGTAATCCGACCACCATTTTATTTTTAAACGACCTCTATTCCAGAACAGTCGTCAAAGGTACGCCTTCACAGCCAAAAATGAGATCATTTTTTTTTTATTTATATTTTGTAAGTATTGCTAAATATCGATATTATTATATGAAGTCCAAAATTGCGATCAGGACCTAAATAAATATTTCCAGACTCGTTTCAAGAAATATCATGATGAACATTTTGACTTGTGTTATGGTAATACATGTAATGGAAATGTAAGTGTAATTTCAGTTAGAAAATTACTTTTGATTATTAGAGTTAATTTGTTATTAGGTTTTGATAACAGCGTTGGAGAGAAAAGAGATGGCTAACTATGTTGAACATTTACTCACTCAATTTAGATGAATATAATACATGCCTTAGATAGACATACCGTCAAAGATATTTCAGTTGTTGATTGTACGTGTTGTATGCACTGCCAATTATGTTTCCCTGCTATCCCCAAATTCAAATTCGATTTTTGTATGTCCTCTTTGACCACTCGATTTGTACAGGAAAGACACATTAAATATCGCGCGGAGAAAGTCACGTGACAATTTCGAAAGAAGTAACAAGTGGTCTCGTTCAACCAGACTCTTATTGTCTGCGTGATTAAGCGTCTGGTTAAACGAGACTAAAACACAGGCTGTGGCAAAGGTGCCCCATGAAAGGTGGATCTATGTAGGCAATTTCTTTTCGCACTTCGAAACCAGGAATACGATTTTATCTACGGTCGTGTTGAAACTGATTAATCACCTTAGAAGTAATTATTTATCATCATTATTATNGGACCACCAGACTTTTTTGTCTTGAGACCTTTACATATTTCAGAAACCTCTTTAAAAGTAAATCAGGATTTTTTTATTCTCGGGAAGATCGAGGTAATTGGGCAAGAAACTGCACTCCCTTTTAGTTAAAGTTATGTCCGGCAAAACTACGGAATAAACCGGAGTTCTCAATATCCCAACAATACCCACCCGAAATAAGTGATAGACGTTACGCTCTGTACCCGAAAATGAAGGAACTCAAACGTAGCCATGTGAACGTCAAAATTGCTTACT